TTTTATTTGTTGTTATTTTCTAATTAGAATTAGAAATTTACGCATATAATTAATGTAAACCTCTAATTCTAATAGAAAAACATTATCAATTGAAAAACTATACTTAAATTTTAAATGTAATTTAGTAGAATGAAAAAAAAATATTATTTTGCTAAAAAAATTCCTATGACAAATATGTAGTTAGAACGACCCTTTCTGGTTTAACTAGTCATGTGTTATATTTGAATCTGGAACGGGCCGTTCTGATTTCGGAACGGGCCGTTCTGATTTCGGAACGGGTCGTTCTGATCCATTTTCATGTATTTTTTTTCATCTGGAACTACCCGTTCTGATCCGTTATTCATGTGTTATTGTTTCATCTGGAACGACCCGTTCTGAAATCAGAACGGCCCGTTCCGAACGTGAATAGCAGTTGCGTCAGTGCATCGTAACACGTGTTTTTTTTTGGATAATTTTAAAAAAAAAAATTTAAGTAAAAAATTCAGAAATCTTGATCCTATGTGTGAAAATGTACAATATATTCTTACTCATTAAATCATAATCTCAACCATTCATTATTTTTAATATTATATCTATGGTGATTTTTCAGTCACCACCTATGCACCACTTGTATAAGTGGGCTATCAGAGACATCACCAATTTTTACTATTTTTTTTTATTAAAGTAAGGGGGAAGAGAACTTTATCTTTTTAAATTTTTGTATGCTATTATGTTTATTATTTATGTTATATTTTATGTGTATTTACTTAGTGAGGTGTTCTTAACCTCACTTATTTGCTTAATCTATGATATTTTATTTTACTCTTAATGACTAATAAAGTGTTCCTAGTTTATGTTGTTTAATTATTTTATAATGATTATTACTGTTATTTACTTGATTAGGACTCTTTAATATATTTCATTTAAGTAAATTATATTTTATTAAATTTTAAATTATTAAAAAATACTCAACTTATTTAGTGTAATTATATTTATATTAATATTAACTATAATATAGTTTTGCCAAAATATCTTAAATTCGTCTTGTTGTTATTTCTTAATGCATTTATAAAGATAAATATTATTTTATGACCATAAGAATGAAAGTTTGAATTAATTTGTAGTTGGAGGTTTACCTTGAGGTATTAAATGAGTAAAACTTAAGGTGAAATAACCTTTAATTATTTGTTATTATAATGCTCATTTATCCTGACTAGTCACTACAAGTATAATTCAAATTTTTATATCATGAAAAATTAATATATTTATTAGTATTAAATATTTCTATGCATATTATGCAATTGTTGATATTTATTGGATAATTGTTCTCACTTCTTATGATTCTTTTTTAAATATTTAATTAATTATAATAGAAAAATAGATGGACCTACCGACAATTCTAGGGCCTTTCCCTTCTATCATATTCGCGGTATTTTCTGGAACCACTTGGAGTGTGGATGCTGTTGCCAATCCGGTTACTTTTCAAGGAGTAGCACTATCAACTTTTACATTTTCTCCTACTCAGGAAATCCCTACGGTTATTGATAGACCGATAGTGGTTACCTTTTTCTTACCTCCGACTAACTATGTTAATCTTATAGTAAACTTATATCAACATAATATGTAAATATTGTAATAGATGTGTGAGAAATAATTAGTTTTAATTACGCATGTTGTTGTAAATATTTTTAGAATAATATGTAATGTAATTATAAGCTAATTATATGTAAATGAAATATTTCTTTGTTATTATGTATAATATTATCAATAATATACTTGTGTTTTCAATCTATAAATATTATTTATACGTATAATATTGGATTTAATATTTATACGACTAGACGTTACACTAGTCAACATGTTAATCGTTGATTATAGTTTCATACCAATCGTCGTTTTTGGTTTTTATAGTAGCTATTGTGCTTTAGTAGAGTTAAAACACTAAGACTGCTTACCCATCTGTAAGAGATCTCCATAAGCTTTTATGTGTGATGACACATCAATTATTTAATTGCTTAGTTGTTTAAGTTGTTATCCGTTGTTTTAAGTTGATCAATTGTTTTCATTTGCTTATGTTGTTAAGTTGTGGATGTTGTCTTCACTTGTTATGTTTTTAAATTGTAAAGCTAACATGTTGTTTAAGTTTCATATACTACTTGAAGTTGTTTACTTCTTTATTTGATGATGTGATGTTTCTTTCACAAGTTTATCCTTATTTTTTTGTTGGTATTATTGGATTATTATGATCATACTTATTATGAGAGTAAGACATGATTAAGTTGGAGGACATAGTTGGTAGATGGCCATGTTAAGGATAGCTTTTATGTTTTGTTAGGTTATTCTGATACAACTTGTATATAGAGACAGTTGCCTAACATTAGAGCTTTATGTTTTCGATACTTCCATACTAGATGTATGTTTGTATATATGTATAAGGTTTTATTAATTATAACTCTATAAGAAAATTTATGTTTTCAAGTCAAAATTAGCTAAGATTATTTTATGTTTTCTACGCCCTAAACAAATATACATTAAATAGATGTCCATGTACTAATTAATTCATGGTAATCCGAAGTTAATAAATTCTTTATATTTAATTTTTTGCACCCAACACCATATCAGTAAGTTCTCCCACATAGCCATTATCTGATATCGCACCTAGTGCGGTCCTCCTCACGCTCGACGCGATTCATCTAGAGACTCCCATCACGAGCCACGCCCGACAAGGCTAACCTCACACCAGTGTGGTTTCGAAACGACTGCCTCTGATGAATGCATGCCCGACGTCGTGAACATGTGCCTGCACAGACTCAAATAACAGCACCCAAACTTAGAAAAATCCATCTAAAACTTGCAATTCAAAAGATTCAACCACATGCAATCCATATAGGATCATCAATAGACCTCAAGGAAAGCAAAACAAGCTTAAATACAACATGCAATCCTTTGATGCACCATAATCACCAAAATTCCATTTTAGCCCGAAATCGCTAAAACCTTAATTCAACAGAAAATCCCCAAATCCATGCACCAATTTGAGTTTCTAAATTCAAATGCAACCAATCTACTTACAATCTAGCTTCCCTTACTTGAAAGTGGCTCCATATCAACCAAGAAAAGGAGAAGAAGAGGAAACTCCAAGTGGTCAACCCAACAACTTCAATCCACAAAAAGCAAGCTTCCTAGCCTGAATTTCAAGAAAGGACAAAAGAGATTAGTATTCTAGGAGAAAAAATGAATTAAACAGAGAAGTTTGGGAGAAAAAGGAGCTCACAAATCCAAAGTCCTTCTCTCTAAAATCTCTCTCTAATTTCTCTTAAGAATGGACTTATGAAGCTCAATTCTCAAAAGAAATCTTATATACATTTCTCCTTAGAGTAACTAAACTCCAAACAACTTATCTAGCACAATGTTACAATAATTTGAATTTTAATAGATTTTAACAGATTTTGATAAATTTATATCATAAGATTTTAATGGATTTTACAAGAAAACATGAATTTATAAAACACATTTAATGATATAAGAATTAATAAAAAAATATAACATAAATAATAAAGAAAAGTAAAATCAACACAATATTTTTCCTATCTTTTGAGAAATAATTGTCTTTATCTTTTGACAAATAAGTGACTTTAATGTCTCCCTTACTAACATTTATCCACAAATCTAAAGCTACCTTAGGTAGGCCTTTATGCATTAACATATTTTTTTCATGCTTGAGTCTAAATATTATGTTCATAATTATGGTATTCATTAATTAGTAGCATTAAAGATAAAAATTCATCCATTGATTCAATTAGATATTTATCATAACGACATTTTTTTTTGCAAAAAAAGTTATGCAATGCTTCATGTGCTTATACAAGTTAAGCCTATCTTAAATAAAATCAAAATAGAGACATTGATTTAGAAATTGTGAAGTATGATTTAAAATATTAAATTTTTTTTGATCATGTTTCTTAAAGACATATGACGTAAATTGAACACTTTATGTATGACATAAATTGAATACTTTATTTTCATTTTGAAAGTCATTATTATGGCTCGAAAAATCTTAGAGATGATAAGTGAGAGAGATAAATAAAAAAAGAGAAAGAAGAAATGAGACAAAGAAGAAAAGAAGAGAGAGAGAGGAAAGAGAAGCTAAGATATGGAAGAGATGATGAAAGAGAACAATAAGAAAAGCGAGAAAGAAGATCCAAGAGAGAGAAAAGAAGAAAAAAAGAGAAAAAAAAAAAAGATGCAAAATTTCAAATATTTTGACAGATTGTTAAATGAGTAAATTATATATAAATTCTACTAAAAAATCTACAAAATTTATTATTCAAAATAATTTATTGAAATTTCTGTATTTTTAAATTGTAAGACACTTTTTTTAGTAAATTTTTTTAATTGAATACTGTTAAATTTTGATCCACTCTCAAAAAAATCATGATCACTATATTGAGACTTTTTTATATTAAAAGAAATCTTGATTAAATAATACAAAAAGAATTTATAATAAAAGAATCTTTTAAAACTCATAAAAATTCTGATTCATATACTCTTAATTTGATCAAATTAGTGTGATGAATTGACTTAACAACTCAAGAACTATTTATTTAGACTTAAAAAAAATGTTTTTAAAGAAGTGTTTTTTTTTAAATAATTATGTAAAAAGCAAATAATAATTACTTCTTTAAAAAAATGTTTATCTTAAAATAAAATTTAGATAAACACGTTCAAAAAGTGAAAATGCACTTATTTTATTAAAAAAACATTTTTGTAAGAGAAAAAACTTTAAATAAATATTCCCTAAAGATTTTTAAAAAAAAATTAAAATACCAAATTAAAACTTAAAAATAAAAGCAAGTACTAGAATTCTGTTTTAACTAATGTTAAAAAAAATGTAGAATACTTATTGCTAATTTCATTTTACTAGTCTTCAAAGGAAAAGCTTATTATTAATCATTAACTATTATTACTAGTGACTAATTATTCATTATTAATTATATAATGTTTTTTGGGAAGACTTGTGAAAGTCTACTCCCTTCCCCTTGGTGTTTGCCGGTTCCACTCTATCTCTATATACCCATCTCACCTCTCTCACTCATTCAGGTCAATCAATCATTCCTTCCTTCTCTTCTGATTCCAAATCACAGACCCTTCTCCTTCCCTCTCTACAATCTTCTTCTCTAACCTTCGTTTCCCTCTCTCCCATGGCTTCCGATCTCGAAGCTAAAGCCAAAGAGGCCTTCGTCGAAGACCACTACGAGCTCGCCGTCGACCTTCTCACTCAGGCCATTCACCACGAGCCCACCAAAGCCGAACTCTACGCCGACCGCGCCCAAGCCAACATCAAACTCAACAACTTCACTGGTACGTACGTGCCCTTTTCAAAAGTTTGTGTTTTTCGAATACCCTTTTGCCTTGTGTGTGCGAATCATCGGGCTTTTGTTCGCCACGGGAACTCTGTTCAATTGGGTCGTCTCGTCGGAGTAGGGGAATTTGACCATGATGATTTCTGTTTGTGTTTTAATGTCTTTGTTTTGTGTTTTTTTCTTAATAAATAAATAAATCTTATGGTGTTATTTTTGGGATGTATGTGTAGTCATGGTTGTATGCTCTCAGCAGACGTGTGACTAATGCTTTACTAAGTAGGGCTTGTTTGGTTAAATTTTTCCAGAAGTAGTATCAGAAGAAAAAAAAAATAAGAAAGAAAATCAAAATAAGCTTCTAGTTAATGCATGAAGCAATTTTAGTTTATTGAAAAGTTTATTTTAATTTTTCTTCCTATTCTTCTCTCCTAAAACGAGAAGCTTACTCAAACATGCTCTTACTAAGTTTGGCAACTAATTTTCTGGCATATGTGCAGAGGCTGTTGCTGATGCGAACAAAGCAATTGAATTGAATCCATCTCTACCAAAAGCGTATTTGAGGAAAGGGTAAGTACAACTTCCTTGTCTTTCCCTTTCTCACTCGTGCGTTTTTTTTTTTTTAATAATTATTATCCCTCACTTTGAAAATTTTCTATATATAGTATCCTGAAATGTTGTTGCTTTTGCTAAGTGTTTTCAAAAGCAGCCACTTAGCTTCCTAGACATTGATTAGTAATTTAGTATTAAGGATGATTTGATCTGTTTGCATCATGCAAATTCTGAAGTCTTGCTTAATGATTCTCACTTTAAACATTTGATAGACAATGGTTGTTTAATCCAACGGTGGCATTCCATTAGAATAATGATAGGCTACCATTACTGAGGAGAACAATAAGAAACAGAGGAGTATTCATGTTGTTAAGTTTGTTGCATAAACTAATGTTGAGCTGGCATGGAAGAATGAGAGGTGGGAATTCAGTTGAGGAGAAGCAACAATTTAAGAGGGGATGGTAGGTGTCTGCCATTGGCAACTTATCTGTATCATACCTGTATGGGATTCCGATATGCATATTATATGATTGCCTTCATATCAAAACTTGTCTGCCTTACTTATCTTTAAACCTTTTATTGCCTTATCTTTGAACCTTTTAATGTGCATTTTTTCTTTGAATAATGAAGGGATTATTATGATAACTTGGGTATAAAATTTTTGTTTAAATTTGAATGGGATTAGGCTTTTTAATAATTTTTTAAGAGATTAAAGACCACCAATTAGACTAATTTGTTTATATCCTACTGCAGTCAGTAATCGTTTGTTGTCATCATCTAAACAATTTTTATATATTTTTAAATATGCTGTGATGTGGTCTGGTTTAGGAGCGGCTGCCTTGACCTACTATTTACTTTGTGTTAAGCACTGACTCCGACATGGACATCTTGACACGGCTGAAGTCTAAAACATAGTACACAGGACACATGATATATATATATACACACTAAAACTTTGTCGCGTTACATAAAAAAAAATTAACATCTTGCTAAGATCTTTAATAGTCCCAAAAAATACTTATAAACGCAAAATAGGAAATTTATTAATTATGATCCCATTTTTAATTTTAAAAAGATTGGTATATGAAAAAGTTAATCGTGTTTATAACCATATCTAGCAATTTAAGGTGTGTCTGAGCTGTGTCGAAGCCAATAAAAACAAAAAAAAGAAACAGAAGACATTGCAAAAATGTATCTGACACGCATCCATGATGTGTTGGTGGTGTGTCGGTGTCGTACACCCTAACGCCTCCATTGCTAGGCGTGTTGGTGTTTCCTAAACAATACTTAACAAAACATCCTTGTCTGCTACTTCCACCATGTTTTACCATAAATGTTACCCATTTTTTTCTAATCTCACATAGTATCATAAATACAATTACAAAAGTAACTCTTATCCTAAGGAGCTTTTTCTGAGGTACCATATGATTTTCGTTGTTTTACAAAATGATTTAAAATGATACTGGTATATAATTTTTTTTTAATTTTTTTTTATGTGATGGTTGAATATCAATTAGGATATCTTTGGCCAAAGTGATACTTGATAGAAATTGCTTCCCCTGCATTATCTGATCACTTTATTTTTTTTATATTTTGACATTAGATGTTCTCAATTCTTTAACATTGTTCAACTGTGCTGTAGTTACTAAATATCTTTATTTATTTTTCGATTTGTTGTTTCCATTGAAGTACTGCATGCATGAAGCTTGAGGAGTATCAAACTGCAAAGGCTGCTCTGGAGATGGGTGCATCATTGTCTCCGGAGAACTCAAGATTTGCTAATTTGATCAAAGAATGTGATAAGCTCATTGCAGGTAAACCTTATTTCTAGTGGAAAAATTCTTTCTTTTGATGAAACTTATTTGTCTTTTAGGTTTACTTTTCATGTTTTAGATTTTGTTTTTTGTGACTGATGATTGTGTCTTGACTGTTGAAAGGGAAAATGTGGGTTTATGTCATTTTTGGCTTGGAAACTGACATGAGCTTGATGGACATATTGTTTTGAACAGAAGAATCTTATTCCATGCCTATACAGGAAAAGGCCACAATAGAAGATGTTACTCCAAAAGATACTCAGCAACAGGATGATCTTCCAGAGAAGCCAACAGTGGCAGTGACTAAACCTAAATATAGGTCTGTACTGCTTTTTATTTTATGGTTGTTTATATCTATTGCTAGGACTATTGTTTTATATATGGAGAGTGTGATGGCTTTTGTAGTTATTTTGCATATCTCTTGGTATTGTTTATTTGTATGTTTTAATAATGAACTCTCCCAATTGCTTAATCTATTAGATGAAGTTCATGAAATATGATTCTCTGTCTAACATTTCATATTTTTTTGGCTTTAGCATGTGCTGAAGTTTAACTTTAGCTTAAAAGAATGAGGGCCGGAAAGATCTAATTTCTGACCAATTGATTATACAGACTTTGATTCTGTGTTAAGAAATAATCACTGGGCAAATGAATAATTTTTTTATTTTTATATTTAATCTCTTGGCACATATCTTCATTTAAGAGCCCTTGGGGCTTGAAGTGTTGACAATACACCAGCCACAGTAACATCCACCTTGTGCAGAAATCCAGCTTTGTATTAGAATAGTTGACTTATAAGGACCAAATTCTAAATCATTTGGTCAAGGTGGGTTCTCATACCAAGCCATGGACCAACAAACCAAAAAGGTTAAGCTGCAATATGAAATTTCAAGAGTGACTTTGTATCTATCTATAAGCTTATAGGGAGAATGTTCCCACGGTATTCTTATTTTTTAAGTTCTTACAATTTGTCAATTTAGTATCTGATTTGGTAGAACATGTTAATAGGGCTCTTTGTAGTTTGTAATATTTCATGTTGTGTATTATTGGTTATTTGTTATGAATTATGATAGTATCGCACTATATATGAGCTGAAATTTTTTTATTAAAGGAAGATACAAATCACTCAGGCTTTTTTACTTTAAAAATATAATTTCTGCAGGCATGAATTCTACCAGAAACCTGATCAGGTGGTTGTAACCATATTTGCAAAGAAAATTCCAAAGGAATGCATTACTGTTGACTACGGTGAACAAATAGTATGGTCACATTATAATAATATTTAGTCAATGCTTCTTATGCTTGCTTTTAATTAAACTTCTATTCATTTTGGTGAATCACATTCTAAGCTTGCTGCCTTGACCCTGTTTGGTCTTTTGTAGCTAAGTGTTAGTATTAATGTCCCTGGAGAAGATGCATATGTTTTTCAAAGTCGCTTATTTGGAAAGGTATGAATTAAAACTTTTTTTAGTATAAAATGCTTGGATCACTGGGATTAAAATAGCTTACAGCCTTGTAGGTGTATACTATAATTTTGATTGTATTATAATGTGGATACTGGACATAGTTAAATTTTAGTTATCTTTTATTTTATTTTTGTTGGTCTGAGGCCCCTGTATTGGAAAAGTCATATTTAAACTCCTCTATATGGTGGTTTATCATAGCATTTTTTTGTTATTCTGTAATAGTGTATATTGTGTTGATCTTGGGTTTCTTCAATCAGATCATACCTTCCAGTTGCCGGTATGAAGTTTTGTCCACCAAAATTGAAATTCGCCTTGTGAAAGCAGAACCTATTCACTGGGCATCACTAGAATTCACAAGAGACATTACAGTTGCTCCGAGAGTGAATGTTTCTTCAGGTAACTTCTGATCTATCTGGATTCTGAAGTTTCCTTCCTGTTGTCTCTTTCTATTTCCTGTTTCATGATTTGTGCAAAATGGTATATTTTTTCTCTATGCTTACTGATGGATTATTATCTGATTGGGATTTGCAATGAATTGTGCTAGCTGTTCACCCGTTAATTTCTATCATGATTTACATGCGAAAATGCTTTATCCTTTGCCATGAATTTTGCAGTTACTGGAAGTCAGAGACCTTCTTACCCATCCTCAAAACCAGCAAGAGATTGGGACAAAATTGAAGCTGAAGTCAAGAAAGAGGTTTGTCTGCTCTCTATGTAAATAAATCCTTGTATTAGTGAGTACACTTCTTGCTCCTTACATTCTTCATCTCAGGAGAAAGACGAAAAGCTTGATGGCGATGCTGCGTTGAACAAATTTTTCCGGGAAATATATCAAGATGCTGATGAGGATACAAGAAGAGCAATGAAGAAGTCATTTGTAAGTTTTACATTTTGTATCTTTCGATCTTGGTCACAATATATCTCTATTTTTAATTCCTTCTTTAGTTATTTGGGGGCATGTTGTGATGTCTTGGGTTGCGTTCTTTTCAAGGTATAATGTTGTATTTTTAGAAATCTCATTCCCTTGAAATATACTTAGAAATGTTATTCCCATGAACATGGTTAGTTGACATTTACAAATTTCAGAAAAAATAATTTTTATATAAAAAAATAATTGAAAAGATCAAAATGGGTTAGGAAATGTTGAATGATAAAGTGGAAAGAGGTAGTTATTAAAAAAAATTAACTTCTATTCTCATGTAAGATACCCACCTTTCACCATGAGAATGAGAAACATGTCAAATATAAAAGTTTTATACTTCTGCGAATATATTTTCATAACCTTTTAACTAATATGAGAATAAATATTTTCACCTTCATAATCTTATGGTTTTGAGAATGCCAGCAAATTGCCTTCACTGCATACTGCACTATACATTGCAGCTGATCTCTTTTTCAATCTTCTTGTATAGGTGGAGTCTAATGGGACAGTGCTGTCTACAAACTGGAAAGAAGTGGGATCAAAGAAGGTAGAGGGAAGCCCTCCTGATGGCATGGAGTTGAAGAAATGGGAATATTGAGACATTTTCTGGATCTACGTTATATATATTTTGGTGTTGGATTATACTTTGGATTTGTTTTGGTGGTTAGCTACCTTATGAACTAAATATTTGTTTTCTTGAATTATTTTTAATTGTCATGACTCATGGGGTGTGTCCGTCTTCGCTAAGACCTGAATTAATGGTTGTTGGTTGAGTTGAGGACAAGGCTGTTTCTACTTTCTATTTAGTGAATATAATGCCACTTTCTGTTTTACTTTTCCTTCTTTTAACCATTACTTTCTATTAATACAAACTTTCCAATTATATGTGTTGTATATTTTTTGATAAACCAAAAATCTGAAAGAATCTGAATAGGTGAGGAATTAAAGTATCTTAACAACCAAACATACAATTTCTCATATACGGATATCATTATTAGTTTTAGGGTGTATTTGGAAACATGTTTGAATGGTACTGAATGAAAGTTTAGCACTTTTCAATGCACAAATGAAGTAATGAGTGTTGGATTGGGTTGAAGGTGGTTTCAATTGGATAACACACTTAGCCACTAAGTGAATGCTGCAATAATACAAATAGTTAAATTGGGATGAAGTTGGGAGAAATTGGAAGGCAAATTGCAATATTCCTTAAATAAAGGTCAATAGAAATTTTATGCACATTTAGTGAATCCTAGCAAACAATTAAGAAAAAGTTTGCAAGCCAAATGATTTAAAATAACACATTATAATAGATATTAACGAACGATTATTTCAGCTTGGACAAAATTGTTTTAAAAACCAGAGATACGTTTGGTTAGGATTCTTGTGACCGTAAAAGCGTGACTTTTCAATCCCAAGGCAGAATTAGAATCAGTAAAAGAAGTTTTTTTTTTTTTTTTTTTTACTTGTATAAGGGTCTATTTATACAATTCTTTTAAAGATTAAAATAAAAAGAATAGTTAAGATAATTTATAGAAATTCTTTCATTGTTTTATCTAAATTTTGTTTCCTCCCCTACCTCACTAATTTTGGTACTGTCACCGAATTTCATGTTAATCAATGATGTTGATCTTTTAGTCAAAAGCCAGAATCTTAAAATACCTATTGATGTTCAGGATGAAATTAAATAAAATTCTTAGGGGTGCTCACAACTTTATAATATAATAATTTGTCTTGATTTGATCTGACTCAAACATATTTCAAATTTTGACACTGTTTAAATCAAATCTGATCCGAGTTGCATGTGCTGCACGAAGCTCATACAGTTTTACGCTTGCACTTGGAGGATAACATACGTGGAGTAACCTTTATATATAAAGAGGTATTAATCTTTTTCATTGGTCTTTATAAAGATAAAGTGATAACTCTAATATTAATTCTATGTTCAAGTCTTCAAGATAGAGACATAGGTTGTTGATTAAGGAGCTCAAGTGTTGATTTTTGATGGAATTAATGATATTTTTGTTTTTCCTTTCGTTTTCTTTTGTTCATTTCTCTGGTTGTAAAAAAATAAAAATAAAAATAAATCAAATCAAATCTTATCCAAGCTTAAACTCGATGACTTTTCATTTACAAGTTTTTTATTTTTAAGTTCGTAAATCTGATGACTCAGCTTATATTATGTATATATTTATTTATCTATCTATTCATTATTCACAATTTTTTTAAAAATAAAATAAAATTTTATTTTTCTGAACTGGATTGACTTAACCCGCATACACTCGAGTCTGCAGTCCGGCACCAAGTTCTCCTTCCTATTCAATATTCATTGTATCGATTAAATTATTTTTCTGTCTCTTTATCTTATGTTTTTCAATTATTTTTTTGAATAAGCAGATGGTCCCCGCTGTTATCAATTGATTAATGGGTAAGCACAAGTTAAATAATCTTCAACTTCGAATTCTTTATCTTTTCAACTTTATATATATATATATATATATATTAAAGGTATAATGAGAATAATAGAGTTCGAATATAAATTTTTGTAGATATAGTCCAACCTCTTCATTTGATCGATCCTATCGATTGAAATCCATAACTTGTTTGAGTCTTATTTTTAACAGAATAGCAAACCGAAACTTAACACATAATTGTAATTTGAATTGGTTTGAATCCTTATGTACTTAGGGAACTTCCTATATATTTATTCTTTCCATATTTTTCTTTAACTATTAATTTGCTGTCATCTTTCACGATCTTTTTTCTTTTTATTATTTCACCACATCATCCTCTGTCGTAATAAAAATGATAAGCTAATTAGCGACTATACCGCATCACTGAGTACTAAAAATATAGGTTAAAGAAAGTCGATAAAATTCAAATATTGTTGTTGACCCAGGAAAAAAGAAACAGTAAAAAATAAACATCAATCTATTTTTTATATTCATTATTTAAAGAAAGTAGATATATTAGTGAAAAATATGGAATTTATGTCAACGTATTTTTGTCGGACATATAAATACTTAACGTAAAAAATACATGGTGACATTTTTTAAATTAAACTAAATTTTTTTACATTAGACCACATGGTGTTCGACATAAAATTTGAAATCGTCGGACTATAGCTAGACTCAACATAGATTTCAAAATATTTGATGTCGGACCTTGTGTGATCTGACGTAAAAAAAACCTTTTTATTCCCCTCTAGTGCGCTTTCGTCTTCTTCATGCACGCGAGGGTTTATACAGTGTACGTTCTTAGGCAATTTTTGATGAAGGGTTTATACACTACCACTGGGCGTTTTCGGTCACAGTGAATGGCAGTGACAGTGGCAGCGACATCCATTCGTGATTCTAGATCTTTTTCATCGATTGGATTGAAGCTTTTGGACATTTTTCTAAGGTTTGGATGATTTGAGGTTAGTGCTTTGTGAAACCATATTTTGAAAGCCTTTCTTTGTGTGTGTTGTTCTGGATTCACATTCTACTATTGGAAATGCATTTTGAAAGCCTTTCTTTGTGAAACCATTAGTTATATGATGGGAGCTATGATGTTTTGAGTGTGTTTGTGGTTTGCCTGGTTGTGTGTGGAAAGCAAGCTGGCTTTGCTTGGTTCTGGCTTGGGAGAGTTGACGAAGAATGTGTGAAATGGTGAGGTTCCATTTCCATCATGCCCCGTGGCCTTACCTCACCTCACCTCCTTCTCTCTTCTTTTATATCCTCTCTTTTGAACTCCCTGTCACCGTTTCTTTCTTCAACTTTTTTCTTTTATTTGACTCACACTTTGACTATCCACAAATGTTGCTCACATCACACCATTCTTTCTACTTTCTAGTACTTTCTAGCACACAATATTTTTTTTTTGTTTTAAATCACCATATTACCATGGTTGAAGAAGAAACCAATTTAGATACAATGGGACAACAGAGTTTTTGAAATTAAAGAAAATTTTTTTACATTAAACCACACAGTGTTCGACGTAAAATTTGAAATCAACGTCGAATTGTAGCTAGACTCAACGTAAATTTCAAATTTGACGTCCAACCACGTGTGATCCGACATAAAAAAACCTTTTTATTGCCCTCTAGCGCGCCTTTGTCTTCTTCACGCGCGCGAGGGTTTATACATTGTACATTCTTAGGAGAATTTTGATGAAGGGTTTATACCCTACCTTTGGGCGTTTCCAGTCATGGTGAATGGTGGTGACAGTAGCAACAACATCCATTCGTGATTCCAGATCTTTTTCTCTGATTGGATTGAAGCTTTTGGGCATTTTTCTAAGGTTTGGATGATTTGAGGTTAGTGCTTTGTGAACCCATATTTTGAAAGCGTTTCTTTGTGTGTGTTGTTCTAGATTCACATTCTGCTATTGGAAATGCATTTTGAAAGCCTTTCTTTGTGAAACCATGTACATTAGTTATACATTGGGGGCTATGATGTTTTGAGTGTGTTTGTGGTTTGCCTAGTTTTGTGTGGCAAGCAAGCTGGCTCTACTTGGTTCTGGCTTGGGAGAGTTGGCGAAGAATGTGTGAAGTGGTGAGGTTCCATTTCCATCATGTCACGTGGCTTTACCAAACCTCACCTCCTTCTTTCTTCTTTTATATCCTCTCTTTCGAACTCCCTGTCACCTTTTCTTTCTTCAACTTTTTTCTTTTATTCAACTCACACTTTGACTATCCACAAATGTTGCTCACATCACACCATTCTTTCTACTTTTTAGTACTTTCTAGCACACAATATTTTTTTTTTGTTTTAAATCACCTTATTACCACGGTTGAAGAAGAAACCAATTTAGATACAATGGGACAACAGAGTTTTTGAAATTAAAGCAATTTTTTTTACATTAAACCACATGGTGTTCGACGTAAAATTTGAAATCAACGTCGAATTGTAGCTAGACTCAACGTAAATTTCAAATTTGACGTCCGACCTCGTGTGATCCGACGTAAAAAAACCTTTTTATTCCCCTCTAGCGCGCCTTTGTCTTCTTCACGCACGCGAGGGTTTATACATTGTACATTCTTAGGAGATTTTTGATGAAGGGTTTATACCCTACCTTTGGGCGTTTCCAGTCATGGTGAATGGTGGTGACAGTAGCAACGACATCCATTCGTGATTCCAGATCTTTTTCTCAGATTGGATTGAAGCTTTTGGGCATTTTTCTAAGGTTTGGACGATTTGAGGTTAGTGCTTTGTGAAACCATATTTTGAAATCCTTTCTTTGTGTGTGTTGTTCTAGATTCACATTCTGCTATTGGAAATGCATTTTGAAAGCCTTTCTTTGTGAAATCATGTACATTAGTTATACATTGGGGGCTATGATGTTTTGAGTGTGGTTGTGGTTTGCCTAGTTTTGTGTGGCAAGCAAGCTGGCTCTACTTGGTTCTGGCTTGGGAGAGTTGGCGAAGAATGTGTGAAGTGGTGAGGTTCCATTTCCATCATGTCACGTGGCTTTAGCAAACCTCACCACCTTCTTTCTTCTTTTATATCCTCTCTTTCGAACTCCCTGTCACCTTTTCTTTCTTCAACTTTTTTCTTTTATTCAACTCACACTTTGACTATCCACAAATGTTGCTCACATCACACCATTCTTTCTACTTTTTAGTACTTTCTAGCACACAATATTTTTGTTTTGTTTTAAATCACCATATTACCACGGTTGAAGAAGAAACCAATTTAGATACAATGGGACAACAGAGTTTTTGAAATTAAAGCAATTTTTTTTACATTAAACCACATGGTGTTCGACGTAAAATTTGAAATCAACGTCGAATTGTAGCTAAACTCAACGTAAATTTCAAATTTGACGTCCGACCTCGTGTGATCCAACGTAAAAA